AAATAATGTGCTTTCTCCCCAAAACTGTAACTGTAATGTCTGCTCAGCATAGTTGCAGTATAATCTACAGGTGGGCTCTGTGGGTGTTGAACAAACAGAAATGCGCTTGAGCAGGCGTCTGTAACAAGGTACCATAATAAATATGAATGGCCAAACATAAAAAATAAAAAATTTATCTTTAAAGAGTGTTCACTATTAAACATTATAAAAGTATCACTATTTACTTTTACTAGTTTTAAACCATGAAAATTTCACAGTTTTCCTATTTTAATATTCTGATGAGTCTTAATTAGTAAGTTAATGATTGAGTAAGCTCATGGTGAGGTCTATAACAATAAAATATCCAGAGAAATTCCCTGATTGCATCGTTAAATATCTGAGCTTAACAACTTTAACAAATTATTACAATAGCAATTGTAAATATGAATGCTGACTGTTATTTTAAGAAGTGGGTACAGATGAAAAGATTTGAAATTGATAAGTACATGGCAGCTGCCTCAATAAACTGGGATAGGGTGGGTACAAGAGGAGGACAACAACACTAAGAAAACAGACTACCTGCCTTATGCGAAGGGGTTATCAGAGGAAATACAAAGGATCTGCAGTCTATATAACATCGACAACCTTCAAAAGCTGGATGATACTTCGCAGATATCTCTCCCAAGTACCCCCCCCCATAGAGGAGAACATGACTAAAGATTGTGTGTATGCCATCCCATGCAGCTGCGGAAAGAAATATAAGAGACAGGCTATCCCCTTAAGGTGAGGCTTCAAGAACACCAAAAAGCTGTAACACGAGGGGAAGTGGAAAAATCAGGCATGGCTGACCACATATGGAGAGAAAAGGGAAATCACTGCCCTCTGTGAGATCAGGTTGAAATCATAGAAAAAGAACATCAAAAATTTGTAAGCAATTAGACATGACACGTGGAACTAGAACAGTCTACCCCAGTGAGTGAAATAAAGGATTCAGTTCAACATTCTAACCGGAGCATACAACTGACGAAACGTTGTGATAGACACGACAACAAAGATGAGGACAATAGTCTGAATAATGTAAATAGTGATAAATTTTTATTTCACTGAAACTGACATTAAACACTTTCATTCTTTCTTTTATTTTGTCACTGAAACCAAGTAGTGTCTTTTCCTCTCTTTCCACATGATCAGAATGGAATAGTCTATTATTTATGAGTTATTGGCAGGGCGTAACGGTCGTGCAAACTGATAAAGGTGGAGACAGACACAATTATAATAGGTTGTTAGCTTTATTTTGTACAGAAGCTGATGAGGATTATTTTCTCTGTGAATTGTGATTATATTTTGTAGAGAAAGTTGTTATATAACAGGGAGATCTTTCTTTACATATGACTCCAATGCTACAAATATTATACTACCTTTCATCTTTTCGTTTTAAAATTTGTTCAATATTTTTGGTTCTTTCCTGAAATGTCGAGCTGAAATTTTTTTTTTTTTTGTCCTGAGTGAATATTTTGCACCTTTTTGTTTTTTTGTTTTTTTTTCACATCTTTTTTTTTTTTAATGCTTTTATTATTTATGTGACAACAGGTGTTGCTTTACTTTCATGGTAATTACATTCTTTCATGTTGTAGCTGGAGGTTTTTTGTCCTATCAAATAAAGGACACTTATTTGACACAGCAAGCAAGCAAGTTCTGTAATAATCTGATATTAACCAAGCAGCTTTGGAATCGCATGAAAACACTAAACAGACTTTAACTTCTGTTTTCTTTATAACGTTAACTTTTTGGAAAATTTATATACAGGGTGTATCAAAGATACTTTTACAAACTTTATGGGTGGATTCCTCCCACCTAAACAAGGACAAAAGTCCATATAAACATATGTTCACAAATCATTTGTTTTTGAGTTATTAAGTTTAAAGAAAGTTTGCGGTAGATAGCGCTACGTTGCCATATAGACCAGGTTACATTTGTCATTTGTGTAAATTTGTGGCTAGTCTGTCTTCAGTGTTTAATGTGTGTAGTAGTGAGTTAACTGAGAAGTGTTCTGTTTTACAATGGCAGGATATTTATATCATGAGCAGGCAGATAGGATTTTTACATATGGCCAAACGAATAGTAATGGATGTGAAGCAGCATGGTTTATCAGATTGCGTTTCCAGACCAAAGGCAGCTGAGCCATCCAACCTTTTGCATTGCTGAAACAGAATCTGTGGCACCACTATGGATCAAGGAAGACTGAGATACGCTCATATGCCTGTGAAGAACACATTCTACAGGCTGTCCAAGACAATCCAGGTATGAGCACACATCAATTGGCCCTAGCATGTTGTACATCTACTGCCACATGGAGGGTACTTCAAGAGCAACTCCTGTATCTGTGTCATTTGCAATGTGTGCAGGGTCTTTCATCCTCTGATCACTCACTACGAGAGAACTTTTGCCAATGGTCTATTGCACAAACTGCCAATCTGTTTTTTTTGTCTGATCAGTCTTATTTACAGATGAGGCAACATTTGGAAGAGATTGAATAACAAATTTACAAAACCAACATTTGTGGGCAGATCAGAATCTGTATGGTACAATTCAAGCTAGACACCAGCATCAGTTTACAATTGATGTGTGGATTGGAATTGTAGGTGACTATCTGGTAGGTCCATATGTTCTTCCAGCACATCTTACAGGAGCTGTCTACAGGGACTTTATTTCAAACACACTTCAGGATGTACCCCTGCTGATACGAAAATGCATGTTGTTAATGCATGATGGGGCTCCAGCATATTTTAGTCACATTGGTTGCAATGCACTGACTGACATCTACCATGAAAGATGGATAGGTAGGGGAGGACTGGTTCCATGACCTGCACATTCCCCTAACCTAAATCCTTTGGATTTTTATCTATAGGAACACTTAAAACAATTGTTTTATACAGCAGATGTTAATAATGCAGAGACACTGCATGAATGTGTCATGGAGGCCTGCAAAACCATTCGACAATGTGTGGGGGTATTTGAAAGGATCTGCCAGTCAGTGATCTACTGGGTACATGCATGTGTAGAAGCAAGCAGAAAACATTTATCAGATACAAGGTGCCATAGGTAAATTGTTGCCATTTTAATTTTTAATTTTACAATTGTGCATTGTTTGTTGTTGATTTTGTCAACTGCACAGTACAGTAGGGTCAGTTGGGCAATTTGTTGGTGAGGGCCTCAGACTCAACACATCAAGTGCCTTGATGCCCTAGGTCAAGAGGGGGGCTGTAAGAAGATCCTATGTCTGGCAACATGACTCTGCACCATGCCTCACAAACAGGAGAACCCAATCATGGCTATCAGACAATTTTTGCAACTACATCACCCCTTACATCTGGCCACTTAACTTTCCAGGCTGTAACCCCCTTGATTATTATGTGTGGTGTGCGGTTGAGCAAGAGGCCAATAAAAGTCCTTGTAAGACTAAAGATGAACTGAAGGCAAGGATTATGGTAGCATTCACCAACTTAAAGAAGCAAACTGTCCAGAAGAGATGCAGGAGATTCTGAAGTTGTCTTGAGACTATGGTTGAAGCCAATGGTAATTTTATTGATTAAATTTAGTATTCCAAGATATTTTTGTGTAATTCAGAGTTGACATTCTCCTAGACCAGCTGCCATCCAAAGCTAAAGAGCCCTGTCTAACCTGCAATTTAATCCATAGCTCAATAAAAAAGAGATGGATTCATACATTTTCAAAAGGCATCTGTGAGAAAGTGAATGCAACAGGCTAACACAGAATTTGTCTCACTGATCCCACTTTCCCTGCTGATATTCATGACATGCCTCATGCATTTGATATCACAAGTTTTTAAAAAAAATCCATCATTAAAAAAGAAATCTGATATTATAGGTTTTTACTTATAACCCATTAAGATTCACTCCCCCCATCAAAAAAAAAATTATTGTAGTAAATCTGATGATAATTTTGACTTAAAAAGTGCAGTTTTAATTAAGTGAGGAGGTAAATTATAAAAGGCAAAATTGTATAGAAAGTGCACTAATTTCCGAGTTTTCCACAATAAAATCATGTCCAGGATCATGCAGCAGATTACCTTCCTTAATAATTGCTGTTAAAATGTTGGATATTTTGAAACAACAACAACAGTAGGAAACTGAATGAGATCAGTGAAGTTGTACATCTAGACATATCAGTGTCCAGAAATTTAAAAATCTACGTCAAATTAAGTATCCCTGTATCTTCAGCATTTCTCCCAATGTGTTATATAACAAATGTTCATTTGTATTGCATTACCTGTCCCTACATATATATCACATTAGTCGTTCATCATAATAAGTCTGATCATAATTTTGATTTAAAGAATGTAGTTTTAATTAAAAAGGAAAGAAATTTATTAAGTCAAATATATATAGAAAGTGCACTAATTTCTGAGTTTTCCACAATAAATTATATCCAGGATTATACAGATCAACTTCCTATTTAAATTTTTAAAATAACACCAATAAAAGCTAAAGCAGTCGGAAACTGAATAAGACTGACAAATTTGCGTATATCAAAAACCAGGAAATTAAAATTTAAACGTAAAGTTAAATGTCCCTGCATCTTCAGCATTTCTCTCAATTTATAATTATAACCAATTTTAGTTTTGTTTCCTCCCTCTGCATATATTCCGTATATCCCATCATGCCAAAACCAAGCATGTAAAAAAATTTAAATATCTAGGAAGTGTTATAACAGATTGGTTCATTTTATATGGCTTATCAAGTCTTTGTAGGTTATTTAAAGCCAAAAAATATTTTTAGATTCTGAGAATTTTTATTTATTTATTTCTTTTTAAGATAATAATGGTTTGGTGATAGAAGTCTTACTAATTAACCCATACCTGGAGGGGAGAAGAGGTGAATTCATACCTTTGCTAAGGGTATTTGTGCATAACTGAATATAACAAACCCAACTGGAATTGGAACTCAACTCTCTGATTTCTCATTCTGACCCATTATCCATTATACACCAACACATTCAAGCTTACAGTATGTGGTATTTCCAAGCACTCACCCATCCAAGTACTAACCAGGCTTGATGTTGCTTAACTTCAGTGATCATATGGGAACCAATGTTTCAATGTAATGTGGCCATAAGGCCTGTTTTAACAGAAGATGGAAAATACAACTCTGAAATCCAAAGGTGTATTGGGACAGTGGAACATGCTTTCCAAAAGCTAAGCAAAGTATTAAAAAATATGAAAATCTCATTAGAAGCAAAAGAAAGAGTACTGAACTGTCATGTAATATCAGCCCTCCTACATGGCAATGAATACTGGATAATCACCTCATAGATGAAGAATAGACAGAAATGTGGCTTTACAGAAGATATTCTGAGAATACCATGGACTGGACATGTGAGCAATGACAATGTTTTAGAGAAAATGGAAATGAAAAGGATACTTAACATCAGAAAGAGGCAGTTGAAATTTCTAGGGTATATAATGAGGAAAGAGGGCTTGGAAAATTTGACCCTCACAGGACATATTGAAAGCAAGAAAGAAAGAGGAAAGCAGCACATAACCTACCTAACAAACTTGTGTAAATGGTTGTCAAAACAGATTAGGAGATATAGTAAAAAGAGAAAATTTACTAAGAGCTACAAAAGCAGGACATTTTTTACATGTATTATGCTCACACACATACATACATACATACATACATACATGGGATAAATGAAGGGACATGACACATAGAAGAAGAGTTTTGTGACTGGCATTGAATGTTGTAATGAGCTGAATAAAACAGATCAGATTGGTAATGAATAACAAAATGTAGTTATTTTTTAAAGTTTGATTTTTAAAGATGAATATGCTAATTACTTATTTCTATTAAGACTGCTAAGATGGACAAGATATGCTGATAGATATAAATGATAAAACATATAGTGGATGTTACATTTTTTTTTCATATCTGCACAAATACATATATAGACAGACAATCCACTTTGTATATTTAATTAATTTTCAGAATTTTGAGCACACACACTTAGATCTTTATATATTAGATATAAACCTTCCAAGAGATATGGGCCAAGTTATAAGCAAGGCACTTCTTTCTAGAATTACTGAAAATATATTCAAATCTTTAGAACTCTTTCATGCCAATTATTCTTGATCTAAATCTTCTCAGAGGCCTGCACCAGTTTATAAGCAGTGCTCTTCTTTGAATACAAAAATACAGATACCAAAAAAAAAAAAAAAAAATGGTTGAGCCATATTGCTCTGAGTTTGATGGATTTCTCTAATTAAATTCATCCATGTAACTGAAAATGATGGTAAAATAATGTTTTTCCTCCGGTTTAAATGGAACAAGCTTCTAACAAATATAGTTGTAAAGATGACAGGTGTGGGGATGGCAGGAGAGTTTCAGAAGCTGAGAATAAAAATTAAAATATTGTGCCTGGTGGTATGGTTCCATAAAATTCTCATATCTAATTGTTAATTGGTACAATTCAAACAAAATGATAAAATGCTTCAAGGATCAGGTAGGAACTGTAATGATTGGCTGATGATGTTAGGTGGGGTATATGGGTGAGGGAAATGAGCCAGGGTCAGTGGGATGGTGTTCAGAGGATATGAGGGTGAGGAAAAATATTTTTGTGCACTATTCTGTTTTTGGGGTTGTGTTCATGGGCATTTACTACCACTACCCCAACTCACTTCAGAATAGGGAACAAAAGAACATAATAACTCTTGTTAGGAAGCTAATCTTGCTGATCATTTAATAGAGTAGTGAGGTCAATCCTCATTGGGTGTCTTATGATTATGGCCCTGTACTAGACAAAGCGTAACTTGATACCCATATTTATCACATTTTCTGGCCCATTTATCCCATGAGTGTATGTGTGTGTGGGAGCATAATACATGTAAAAATGACAAGATAATACCACTTCTGCTGAGAATCAGAGTATCTGTGTGCTCTGCCTAGACTCAGACTGTAATATTTATGCACTTAGTGAAAAGTGTAACAACAATATATATATATATATATATATATATATATATATATATAAATATATAAAGGACTAATTACTATTTTCCAATTGTCTATTTTATTCAATTTGTCTTCTCTACAGATTTATTCTGAGAACTTTAACACACACACACACATATATGTGATGTATAAATTTATAACCAGCCTTTGACAGTGTGGCATGATGATCTATGGTAGTTTTTGCGGAATTTCAGCATAGGGGAGGGCTTCATCCAAACCATTAAGGCACTGTATAAGACCTCCAGCAATGCAGTTCTCTTCAACAGTCAGGTGGGTTATTATTTCAAGACCACGGCTGGCATCTATCAGGGTTGTTTGCTTTCCCCAACATTCTTCAATCTCTTTCTTGAGAACGACATGCAAAAAACCCTCCAAGTCCACTATATCCATAGGAGGGAGAATCATTAATAACTTACACTTCACTAATGACAACTCTGAATTATGGGGTCTCACAGATTGACAGACAGAGCAGGTGTGTATGGAATGGAAGTGAACACTGAGAAGAGTAAAGTCCTGGTCAATAGCACAACCAACATCAGGGCCCTTTATAAACAGAGGACAACTAGAAGAAGTGGATGCTTTTAAATATCTTAGCATTACCCTTACCAAAGATGGACGCTCTACAACAGAGATCAAGATCAGACTGGCTATGGCAACATCGTCAATGACAAAACTCGGTAAGATTTGGAAGAGCAAAAACATCAGCTTTCCAACCAGGATGAAGCTCTAAAAGTCTCTGGTGTTGTCCATACTGCTCTATGGATTTGAAAGCGGGACTCTGATAGCAGGAACCGCCAAGAGAGTCTAAACATTTGAAACAAAATGTTTCAAACACCTTCTTGGGATCTCCTGGAGGGAACACAAGACAAATGGCTTTGTACAGGACCAAGTAACACAACTGACAGGGCCCCAGGAGCCCCTCTTGGCAACAGTAAAGAGGAGTAAGCTGTTGTGGCTTGGACATGTCATATGCCACAATGTTCTATCCAAGATGGGCCTTCAAGGTACCTTGGAAGTGGGTAGACAATGGGGGAGACAGTCCAAAAAGTGAAAGGACAACATCAAAGAATGGACCAGGATGGACACTCCAATGCTGTTTCCTGAGGCAGAAAACAGATCTGGTTGGCAGCGGCTGGCTGCATTATTGTTGCTCATGTCTCCTCTACAATCATTTCAGTCATGAGAAAAGAGGAGGATGTATGAGATAATGATATATATTTTTATATATCAAGAACAATATTGAGAAAATTGTAAGACAAAATGGAAAAGGTTTGCTTGTGATGCATTTCATCTGTTAGGACTTCATCAAAGAGGGGTTTGTTGACATTGTTATGACTACACATGAACATGAATGAGAGACACTAGTTTCAAAATTTTTAAAGAATCTTTTAAAAAATTTTTTTTTTTTTTTGCAATCTAGCCAAATTCATCTATATTCTTTTTCTTATAATCATCTTTGTTATTAAATATTCCACATTGTGATAACAGAAAATCTGCCAAGAATGGTGAAATGTTGTAAGAACCTGGACGCAAATTTACTGTGGCTGAATTTGCAATTCAAGCACTTTCTAGACATTTTCATCTTAGTGAATCATTTTCTCTTTTAATTAGAGGAGCATTTTTTATGTCAAAATTATGGTTAGTTTCATTTTGTATTTTGATTTTAAAATGTCTCTTTTGTGTTCATATAATCTTTTGTTTAAACTTGAGGCAATCCTTGCAGTTTTATTTTGTTTTATTTTCTACTGATTAAGTCTTTGATTGTTTTGGATGTAGTTGTGACAAATTTTAGGTTGAGTTTAGATAATTTTTTTCAGTTGTAGTTGTGCTAGAGTTAGTGGGTAGAATCATGTATTTTTTTGATTTGTTGAGTTTGTCAAGAATGACAGCTTTTCTAGTTGGGAATGTTTTATGAGCCATTTTATTTTGCATTGAATATGAAATAGTTAGGGTACTGAGGGGCCTTGAAAGTATTTTCAATTCTCTTCATGTAAATATTGAGGGCTATAACTTTGGCATTGTACCCTCAGTTTGTTTTATATTTTAAGTTTTTAGCTTATTTTATGCTTTAACTCTTATTCTTACTATTTTTGTATGTGTGTGTGTATATATATATATATATATATATATATATATATGTTTTTTGTGTGTGTGCGCCTCCACTGTAAATCACTAACAAGTATTAAATGCCACTTAAGATTATCGCACAAAATTTCATAACTGAATCAAGTAAGCTGTCAGATCCTCATACATCAGAAACCAACGGAAGAGTCCATTTTATATATATATATATATATATATATATATATATATATATATATATATAATATAAAAAAAATATAAGAAATGCAATCTAATAATACTAGCAAGTAATATATGTAAAATTATATATAAATTAACATGTCAATTTTAAACAAATTTCTTCTAATAAAGTGCTCAATATTAGAATAGAGTGATAATTATTATTAAATTATAAATAAAAGCATTCAATACTTACTGGGTATATTGAACATTTTTACTTCTAATTTAATAATCATGATAATAATATATTGTGCCTGATTCTATTATGCAAGTTAATGTTTTCACAATGAAATCAGTATGTTTTTTTAATCATTTCACCCCAAACAAGGTAATAAAGCCACTAGGAAACAAAAGATTACTGAGTTATTAGAGAATGAGAAAAACTATTATTAAGGAGAGAGGACAATAAAATTTTGAAGATTAAAGTTGACTGGGAAGCAAGAAACCGGAAGATAGTTTCACAAAGTGAAAAGAAGAAAAAATATTAGCATAGATTTTACAGTTACATCTAGCTATTTCAACTGTAAAATGATGAGACCCTTCTGCCAATCTAGTACTGCACTTGAATACATAATGTTTAGGTAAGCAAGCAAAAAATTCATCGGAATAATTACCATGAAAGTATTTATAGAAAAGGCAAAGGAACTATGTTAAAGAGGTGGGAAAGGAACTGAAGCCAAGATGCTGAGTCAAGATTAATAACATTGCAGATTCTTCTTTGGATTTTATCAAGAATCTCTGACAAATGGTAGACTTATAAATATGTAAGATAGATTCTGGTGAGAAAAATTCTCTA